TGAGGTACATGTATTTAATGTGCAAGTTTGTAATGTTCAATTATATCAATGACCTGTTTTTTCTTTCTGTACATAAGCTTACTCATCTTTCAATGACCTTATTTATTTCCATGGAGTTTAGGGATAATAAGCCATATGTAGATAAAATATTATCAGTCTACTGAATATATCACTGAATTGCATCATCGATGGCATTATACTCAGTTACAGAGCATTATGAATTCATCTACTCTCATTTTGTCACTGATATACCCATTTTGGACATGATATACTCAATCAGTATATCACACACATGTAACTGAATTTACTCTGTAAAACTTTTAGTGTAGGACCTCTTTTCCTATGATGATACACTTCCAGTGTTAAGAATGTGGAAATTTTGTTACAAATAGTAAGTTAAGTACCACATAACAATTAAGATATAATTCATTAGTACTTCCTTAAAAACAAAACAAAAAGACTGTCCTTCAGAACATGCCAAGGAGAGAATCTTTTTCTTTCTATGAATGAATGAAACATGATATGGGAATGAGTTGTGCACATCCCACCCCCCAAATTCATATGTTGAAGCCCTAACCTCCAATGTGATGATATTTGGAGACAGGGCTTTTCAGACCTAAGTAGGTCCCTATGATGGGATAGTGCCCTTATAAGTAGAGACAGTGGCCGGGCGCGGTGGCTCACGCCTGTAATCCCAGCACTTTGGGAGGCCAAGGTGGGCGGATCATGAGGTCAGGAGATCGAGACCATCTTGGCTAACACGGTGAAACCCCGTCTCTACTAAAAATACAAAAAATTAGCCGGGCATGGTGGCGGGTGCCTGTAGACCCAGCTACTCAGGAGGCTGAGGGAGGAGAATGGTGTGAACCCAGGAGGCGGAGCTTGCAGTGAGCCGAGCTTGCACCACTGCACTCCAGCCTGGGCAACAGAGCGAGACTCCGTCTCAAAAAAAAAAATAAAAGTAGAGACAGTTCTCTCTCTCTCTCTCTCTCTCTCTCTCTCTCTGTGTGTGTGTGTGTATCAGTCTCTCTCTCTATCAATCTCTCTCTCTCTCTCTCTCTCTCCCCTGCCCTGCCATGTGAGGACACAGGGATAAAGGCAACCATCTGCAAGCCAAGAAGAGAGCTCTGACCAGAAGCCAACTACGCTAGCACCCTGTTTTTAAGCCACTCCGTCTATGGTGTTTTGTTATGGCAGTCCAAGCTGACTACGACAAAAACATATCAAGGAATTTGGAGACAAAACCCTAAGCAATTCAGCACTTTATCAGTGAAGTACTGCAGGAAGAGAAATAGATAGGATGCAGGAGAGGGGACACTGAGGTATATACAGCCTGGCCCTTTTACTGACTTCATGTGAGACCCAGAACAACTTGGTCTTTACTTTGTAGTTTGGCTACAGATTCTGCATCTATATAATTACAGGACTGGATAAGCTACTCTGACAGCCACTGCACAGCATCACTCCCACCCTCACTTTGACTATGACTGTACCTTGAAACTGCAGTCACTAACGATGCTGCAGTGACTAGGTGAGACAGGAAGAAATAATCACTGAAGGCAGCAACAAGGAGAATAACAAAATGTCGTGCATAAATTGCAACTCTAGCATGACAGAATGCAAAATGTATAACTGAGATAAACATTTATGAACTCTGCTTCAAAAACAAAGATCAAAATTGAATACTGGCCGGGAGTGGTGTCTCATGCCTGTAATCCCAGCACTTTGGGAGGCCAAAGCAAGTGAATCACCTGAGGTCAAGAGTTCAAGATCAGCCTGGCCAACATGGCGAAACCGCATCTCTACTAAAAATACAAAAGTTAGTTGGGCATGATGGTGCCCACCTGTAGTCCCAGCTACTAGGGAGGCTGAGGTGGGAGGATCACTTGAGACTGGGAGGCAGAGGTTGCAGTGAACCGAGATTGTGCCACTGCACTCCAGCCTGGGTGACAGAGTGACACCCTGTCTCAAAAAAAAAAAATTGAATACTGCACCACCATCACCATCTCTTTGTACTAAAGCTTAAGATGTCCAAAAAAAAAAAAAAAAAGAAAGAATGCAGATACAACAGAAAGTGAATACTGCGACTACACAAAGCACAGTGGTCATTCATGTCCCTCCTACTCTTTGTTATAGTATACAATGATTTTTTTTTTCCAAGATGAAGTATAAGGAAGCATATAATTGCATAGGGAAAAGAGAATGTGAGATACTAACCCCGGACGTAATAGTGCTGTCAGCAAGGCATTTGTCTTCCACTTAACACCTCTAAATGCTGAGGAAGTAAAAAACAGAACAGTTACTTTAGCAACTTGGTTTAGTCCACTTTACAAATACTTTAGAGTAATTAAGGCACAATTACATTTTCATAGGTCGGCTAAAATTCCCCCACGCATTTTTTTTTTTTTTTTTTTTTTTTTTTTTTACTTTACAGCCTTTTAATTTCTACATTTAACACAGCAACTTCCTGGAATAATAACAGTTGAAATGCTTACTCTTATACATTATAGCAGACACATATCTAGCAGGGGTTCCCAGAAGGACCCATAACACAGTGGCACAGGTCATTAAAGCTCCTCCATTGGCAGGAGAAGGAAAACCAAGGCAGGACAGACCTAAAGGCACAAAAATGAAATAGAAAACCAGCAACAATAATAGTCTCAAAAGTACATAGGACTTTATAAGAAATTAAGCACAACCTTATTAAGACATTATATGAAACAGCACACAGGGAAATTATCTAATGGGAGTACTACAAGCAAGGGATGCTACAAGCAAATGTTATTTGCTTGGCTAAGTACTTGACACTTTCTCTTAATGAAAAGGTCTGATTTTCCATTCAAGGTAAGTGGAAGTAAGTTTTCATAAGTTGAATTAGCCTTAATTTCACTGCCTAAATCAAAATTACACAAAATATCTCCCCCTTTCCCACTTCAGTAGTCACTCCAAAAACAGCAAGTCTTTTTTTCCCAAAGAAATTTCCTTCTGTTTCCTTTTATTCAAGGTGAGGAATGGAAAAAATCAAAGTGAGACTTGGTCTCAGGAAAATATAACCCTAAAAGCTGATTTTTGAAATTATCATTGACATCTGAAACACCTAAATGAGCCATTTTTTACAGCAGCTTTGTTTACGAAAATCACTACTCTGGCTATCAAAAACTGACAAGCTCCATTTTTAGTTTATAAATGAAGGCCCTAGGGTTCATCAGCCATTGTGAGCCCACTACAGATGCCATTCCATTTATACACTTAAAGACCAGCACTTAGGCTTGCTGTAGCATTTCAAAATGCTAGCTTTTGAATCATGAACTCCCTTAGCCCACTTAAAATATGATTCTACTCACATACTGATTTTAAGAATGCATTTATTTTGCAAAGCAAGAAATATACGTATTGGAGTTTACAATAAACTATTCAAAACTAAAGAAGCTATGGAAGGTGCTTGATATAGGAAGATACTTAGACTCATATTCTTAATTTGAGAAGACAGAAATGTGAATACTATAAAATACAGATTTCCATAAACTTTGGGGTATAATTTTCCAAGTCCCTTTGTACAAAGGAATCAAAGTTTAACATATGCCGGCAGCTTACTGTGCATGTTTGACATATCTGAGTGTACTCATTTAAAGTAATAAAGGTCATAAACAAAACTTGTGTTCCTTGACCCAGGAAGGCTGACAGCAACATTGTGTTCTTTGGGGGACTGAAAACAACTGCATGAATCATCTTCCAGCCAAGACCCTACTGGGCATCCTCCTACACATAAGAAAGTCTCTAATAAGCATACAAGTTACTATGACAGAAAGTTACAAGTTAGTTGAAACGGAATTTTCCTTTAAAAGCAGACTAACCAGAAATCAGTGGCTCATTATGAATTTAGCAGGTCTCTGGAAGGTACATGATCCTGCCACACAAATGAATCACTGCCTTACTCGAAGTTTTGCATCCGAGGGAGTGTGTTAATTACATAAAACACACAACTGATTTGCTTTTTCATAAAGAAAGCAAAATGATTTAACCTACATAAGGAACTTGACCAATGTAATAGCAATTAAAAATTGACCAATACACAAGTGGTCACAAGAGTCAAAACAGTATAAACAGTATAACCTAAAGTATAGTATTTTGCAATGTTTGATATTGTTATCTCATACTTCCAATCAATGAAAATCTTTAATAATGATATTTTGAGAGTTCAGAAACACATAAAAAAGGATATAACCAAAAAGTTGATAATAAACAACTCTCTAATAAATCTCCCTGTTCTTTTAAAAAAGTTTACTCAACTCTGTACTTTCTGATTTGGTATAACATACAAAATCACTAGGCATAAAAAATGTGCTGTATTCAAGGTGCAATACTCTAAGTAGAAATATAACATTGATGAAAACCGGGCAGAATAGGCACTTAAGTATTTGTTGAATCAAATATATGCATTTTTACTTATGGGAGAATTCATCTTATTATATCTGATAATATCTTTATGGAAAATCCTTAATATGATGTTAGCCACCGTTCCAGATAAGAAAAGAATAACAACAAAGGAATTTACCATAGTAGAAAATGTAAGAAAGAAAAAAAGAGAAGTTAAATCTCAAAATTTCCTAATTGAGCACTGAGAAAAAATGCATGTACATATAAAAGAAAGACATTCAAATTATCATTATGTCAATCAGTTTTCTAACGTTAAATTTCGATCAGTGACTGAATGCATCAATATATTAAGTGAACTTAAAGCAACACTATTCTTAAGGTTATTTTTAGAAAACTTTAAGAGTACCTTCTCAAAGAGAAATAAGAAGAAGTAAATAAGATCTGTAACACAAACTTAGTTTGGGAGCATGGAACTGACAACCTAAGTTCAGGAGACACAGGTTGAACTAATGGCTGACTGGCTTCTTAGCCAATGGATCAAGGCCATAGTCTTTAACTCTATTACTCTATGAGCGTCAGGGCAAAGATCCCAAGGACCACTTATCTATATCTACCAGCTCTTACTGTTTCTAAAACTCAAACTTAAAAACTATCCCCAAAGCAAAGTCAATGCCTTCTGCCATTCCATCTCCCCAGCCAAACCCATACACACCCAAAAAAGTTTCACCAGAATCTATGCAAAGTCCAGCACTGTTTTAGTGAGATGCCAATAAGAAGACTGATGTCTAAATGTCTGTTAAATGTTGTAAGTAAATTAAGTCATGACAGAAACTAAAATACAGTACATTTGTTGTTACATTACTACTACTAGAAATTAGTCCTCATAATCCATCTAGAGGCCCTTCACTTTCACAACCCCTTTGGAGAAACCATTTAAATAAATTGTATCTGAGGAGATTTCTCGGTGGTGACAAAATGGGATTGGAACTGTTGCCCAAACAGAAGCGTCTCTGGAAAAGCTACCATAGGAAGAAGCAAGAGGACAAAGAGGAGGAAGAGGAGGAGAAGGAGGAATAATAGGAATAAGGAAAGGAGAGGAAGGGTATTTTCATTTTAAAGTCAGTGGGAGTATAAGGAGAATCATCATTGCAGAAGACCATGCTCATAGTATCACAACTTTCCTTACTTTCACTTTTTTAACTTTTAATTTTTATTTTATTTTTAGAGACAGGGTCTCTCCATGTCGCACAGGCTAGTCTTGAACTACCGACCTTAAGTGATTCTCCCACCTCGGCCTCCCAAAGCCCTGGGATTACAGGTGCGAGCCACCACACTGGGCCCTTACTTTCATTTTTACTTTTGTAATCTCCTTTGACCCATAATTGCTTTCTTACAGGATATAAAGACAACAAGGAATAAAATACTATACAGACAAATTAATTTCTTTTTGATCAGCTTCTCTTTCAGTCTCTTAAGTTACTAACTTCACATCCTACTCCCACTCTCAGCACTTGATCACAGCCCAAATCATTAATTATGTTATCAGTTGGTCCATCCCTCAGTGAGTCCATCCCATGTGAAACGACTCTTTCCATAGTCACGGACTTCTAACTCTGTAGTTTCATCCTGTTGAAGATTCCTGAGGAATCAAGTCCTTTCCCTCTGGGTCCACTAGAATGTACCTTCAGGCAAGCAGAAGCCTCCTCTGCTTTATTCACTGTTGAGCTCAGAGCCTACCACAGCATCACAATAGGGACTAAAAAGAGTAAATGGTCCTTCACTAGCAGACATCATTTCCATACCATCCTCTCCTCTATATGATCTGCCTTGATTACACAGCCACTTGAAGTTGTGGGTTTGTCATAAGAAATCCTTTCACCCTTTTCTCACCCCTTCCCAGATTTTTATGACATCCCTACCTTCCTCTACTCAGCTGGTTACTATTTTTCCTAACTCTCTACTGTGCCTGAACTTTTTGAACCCACAAACAAAAGCTTCCATTCCATTTTATTTTTCATCTCTTGCACAGTGTCAACTTCCACAGTCATATCTCACTGACTCCCCACCCCAATATTCATTCCATGCAGACGTAGTATCTCCATGACATTTCAGGTTGCTCTTTCCCTTCAGCATAAACATTAACATATTTAAAACACATTTATCTTTTTTTTCACTGTGTATGTGGGGAGTGGAAGGGAGAAGAGGAGAGAGGAAACTACAGTCACAGAGAAGGAAAAAGATGTAACCCAAGATCATCTGTGATAACAAAATATGTTAATTTAAATATATGTATTTACATTTCTACCTCAAAATTACTTACTTTTTGCTACATTAAGTACTTACCTAAACCACTGAATATTAGTATGAGACACAGACTCCAAAATCTAATCCCACCTAGAAGCCCACTTGACAGTTTTGTTTTCCTAAAATGGGAATATAAAATCATATAAGCAAACATTAGTTGAGTTTTTGCTGGTTATAATCCTAAAACCAATGGAAAAACGATTCTGCGTGTACTTTCTCCATTTCTTTACTTCTAACTTCATGGAATGATGTGATCTACTTTGACATTTTTTAATTTTCTTTTTTGTTTTTTGTTTTTGTTTTTTGTTTTCTGGGTTTTTTTTTTGAGATGGAGTGCAGTGACACCATCTCAGCTCACTGCAGCCTCCGCCTCCTGGGTTCAAGTGATTCTCCTGCTTCAGCCTTCTGAGTAGCTGGGATTACAGATGTGAGCCACACCCAGCTAATTTTTGTATTTTTAGTAGAAATGAGGTCTAGCCATGTTGGGCAGGTTGGTCTCGAACTCCTGACCTCAGGTGATCCACCTGCCTCAGCCTCCCTAAGTGCTGGAATTACAGGTGTGAGCCACCGTGCCTGGCCTTCTTATTTTCATGTCCTAATATTCATTTCCTAATATTCCTAATATTCCTAATATTCTTTTAAATTCTACCTAATTTAAAAGAGACTAGGAGGAAATAATTTTAGCTTGCTACTCTTCACCAATAATAGCATCTCTTTGCTACTACTTTTCTGTAACCCTAAATCCACCCATACTTCATTTCATTTTGTCCCTTTTGTCCTGATCATATTTCCATCTACAAAGGTACACAAAGGTATATATAATGAGAGTCACTGTAGCTTTGTAAATTTAAAAACCTAGAAACAACCAAATATGCCCACCACAATGAGAATAAACTATGGTAATCCGTGCAAATAATATGCAACCATTAAAAAGAATGATGTACATCTATAAGTGACAATATGTCTATGAAATAGCATTAAGTGAAAAAAGAAAGGTGAAAAGTATGTGTGGCAAGATTCCACTTTTTCCCAAGGATATGATATATATATCTCGTAGGTACAAATATTTTTCTGGAAGGATAAATAAGAAAAAATAATGCTTATACTGTTAGATGGAGAGAGTAGGAATTGGAGGGTAAAGGAAGGGAGAAATTTACTTATACCTTTTCTATTTGGTTTGAAGTCTTCACCATATACAAATATACAAATGTTATTGATATTATTACTTAAATTCAACTAAAAGACAACTTGCTTCACTGCAACCCACCAACTCCACCCTCTGCAAATAGGTTTGTTATTAGGGTATTTTGTTTGATTATAAAACCTTGTTCAACTACTTAACCCATCATTTGTTTTTTGTTGTTGTTGTTGTTTGGTTTGTTGTTGTTGTTGTTGTTGTTGTTGTTTTGAGATAGAGTCTTGCTCTGTCGCCCAGGCTGGAGTGCAGTGGCACAATCACGGCTCGCTGCAGCCTCAACTTCGCGGCTCAAGTGATCCTCCCACCTCAGCCTCTCAAGTACCTGGGACCACAGGTATGTGCCACAATGTCCAGCTAATTTTTTAGTTTTTTTGTGGAGATGAGATCTCGCTATGTTGCCATGGCTGGTCTTAAATTCCTGGGCGCAAGCAATTTGTCTACCTCAGGCTCCCAAAGTGCTGGGATTACAGGCACAAGTTACCACGCCCTGCCCATTTCTTATATTTTACATTTTTTGTATGTTAAGTATTTTGGTGGTGAGTGCCTATTGTCCTAGCCAGCCATGAAGCTGAGTTGGGAGGATCACCTGAGCCAGGGAGTTTGTGGCTGCAGTGAGCTGTGACTGTGCCACTGCACTCCAGCCTGGGCAGAGTGAGACCCTGTTTTAAGAAAAAAAAAAGATTTTCTTTTATGTTGTAGTTTTCAGTACTGAAAAAAACATAAGAAAACACAATTATGAATGAAGTTGTTTCTGCTGATGTGTGATCAAATTCAACTTGTCAAGAGCTTTAAGATATTGCCAATATATTATTATCTTTTTTTAAATTATACTTTATGTTCTAGGGTACTGTTCTCTCTCATAGGTGGGAATTGAACAATTAGATCACTTGGACACAGGAAGGAAATATTATTATCTTAAATGATAATCCCCGGCCACGCACGGTGGCTCACGCCTGTAATCCCAGCACTTTGGGAGGCCAAGGCAGGTGGATCACCTGAGGTCAGGAGTTCAAGACCAGCCTGACCAACATGGAGAAACCCTGTCTCTACTAAAAGTACAAAATTAGCCAGGCATGGTGGCGCATGCCTGCAATCCCAGCTACTCAGGAGACTGAGGCAGGAGAATAGCTTGAACACAGGAGGCAGAGGTTGCGGTGAGCCAAGATCGCGCCATTGCACTCCAGCCTGGGCAACAAGAGCGAAACTCCGTCTCAGAAAAAAAAAAAAAATTATAACCCCCAATAAATACTTAAGCCATTATTGCAGTGTTATTATCCCTCAAGTCCATGGCATGATCTTAGCAAAAGAAAAACACAGGCACAGATTGACCAAGCTATGCTTGAAATATCTTTGGATTTTTTTTTTAAATGAAGTTTGGGGCACATGAAGAAAGTCACTATATGTTGTTTTTTTAAAAAAATAAAAACCCAAATGAAAGATTTTAATTAAAATGAGTTTTATAGGAAGGAAAAATAATCCAAAAAAAAAAAGATTAAAGAAACAAAAATTTGGAAAAAAATTATTACGAATTTTTTTTATCTTTTTATTTTTCTTTTTTGTGACAGGGTCTTGGCTCTGTCACCCAGGCTGGAGTGCAGTGGCTCAACTTCCCGGGCTCAAGTGATCCTCCCACCTCAGCCTCCCAAGTAGCTGGGACTACAGCCATGCACCACCACTACTCTTAGATAATTTTCATGTTGCCAGCGCTGGTCTTGAACTCCCGGCTCAAGCCATCCTCCCACTTCAGCTTCCCAAAGTGCTGGGATTACAGGCAGGAGCCACCGCACCCAGCCTAAACAAAAATAAATAAATAAACAAATAAAAACATGAAAAAAGCTTTTTTAAATTGGGCTTTAATCCTACAATAGATTTGAGGTAAATCCTGATGAGCACATGACCATCGTTAATACTACCAGTGACGGGACAGGTTAGCATCATGTGCCTCCTCATGTATTCCTACCAAGAATGCAGGCATCTGGTCATGAGGAAACATCCTTAAGACTCAAGATGATAGTCATCATACAGAATGTAATGTCTGTACCCTTTAAAAATTTCAAGGGTATGAAAGACTAACGAACTTAGTCTAGATTGCAGGAGACCAAAACCATAATCCTGGATAGGACTGTGAACCAGAAAGGGAAAGAGTAACACTGTTGACCAGCTGGCAAAATCTGCATGGATGGATGTGGATTGGACAGTATTGATTCCTGATTTGGAGGGTTGTATGCTGGTAGGAGAGAGACCTCGTTTTGAGAAAGTACCCTCTGGAGTGTTTAGGGGTGATTAGACAACCTCTAGCTCTCAAAAGATTCAGAGAAAGACTAATGATAATACACACCCACACAGAAGAATGAACAATGAAGCAAATGAGGTACAATGTTAACAGTCGGGATATCTGGCTAAAGGGACTACTGGAATTCTTTGTACTGTTCTGGCAATTCTTCTGTAAGTCTGAAACTGTTTCAAAATCAATTATTTTTTAAAAACCTATAAGAAAATAATAATTTATAGAACTGATAAATCAAAAGGTAAATACTTCACGAATGAACTTAGCCATCTATTAAAATATTGTTGCATTTTTCTAGGAACTCCTTCTTTAAAAAAATATTTTTGCAACAGTAAAATGTGAGTTATTTTGTGACAATTTGAATTACATGCACCTCTTTACCAGCCTATCCATTGGTTTAACTGAGTTAATTCATATCAAGTCATTAAAAAAACAAGAGCAGTACTTTCAAATATGCAGTATGAAGTTTGAATTTTAAGTACAAAGAGAGACAGGGCAATCTGCAATTGCTATATAGTCATTTTTTTGCACCAAACATTGCCATCTACTGGAAATAACAGACCACAACACATATTACTCTTCCCTAGGAAAGTAAAAAATTATTTAAAAATCATAAGGCATATTTGAGAACGAAATGACAAATACGAAAAGATAACTAAGTGGTAGAAACTATTTTTAACCCATTTAAAATGTATGAATTATGCTGCACCTTTACATTCTAGAGTTTCAAAATCTTTTATAAGACAGCAATTCTCATAAAATCATATGAGGTAAACAGGTCTCTAACGTTGGTAATAATGGAGGCACAAGAAGCAAATGTAGAAACATACAAGACTTCTTGATCCATGACACAGTACCCTATGATAGGTCTCATTCAATAAAAATTCATGAAGGGGCCAGACGCGGTGGCTCACGCCTGCAGTCCCAGCACTTTTGGAGGCTGAGGTGGGTGGATCGCTCGAGTTCAGGGGTTTGAGACCAGCCTGGGAAACATGGCGAAACCCCGTTTCTACAAAAAATACAAAAATTAGCGGGGCATGGTGGCGCGCGCCTGTGCTCCCAGCTACTTGGGGGGCTGAGGTGGGAGGATGGCGTGAACCTGGGAGGTCGAAGTTACAGTGAGCCGAGATCGCGCCACTGCACTCCAGCCTGGGCGACAGAGTGAGACCCTGTCTAAAAAATAAAATAAAAATTTAAATTAAAAAAAAAAAATTCATGCAGGGACTCAAAACAGAAGCCGGCTGGCAATTCTATCTTCTAGTCCAGTTGTTCTCAACAAGAGGAGCAGCACCCTCTAGGGGGCAGAATGAGAATGTGCGGCGATGCTGCTGGTATTGAGTAACGGAGATGTCCTGCAAGGCACAGGGAGACCCCACACAATGGAGAACTGAGAACTGTACAGTGTCTTACAACTCTTTCAAATGCCCCACTCAACTTTCATGTGGATGCAAAACTGCGTATGATTACCTGAGCCTAGATTCTAACTCAGCCACACCTTTATTTTATTTTATTTTATTTTATTTTATTTTATTTTATTCTATTTTATTTTATTTTATTTTAATACAAGGCCTCTGTCTGTTGCCCAGGCTGGAGTGCAGTGGTGCAATCACTGCTCACTGCAGCCTCGACCCTCC